TAGAAAAAAGCCTTGCACTTTTTCTATGATAGAAGGACTATGATTTTATGAAAAAGTTTATGAACTTTCAAAGGCAATGTGGATATCAAGAATCATGTTCAAAACAAAACTGACATAGTAAAATAACTGTCAAAAATTGTATCTGCTTACTGGAAAGGAATCCACATTGATTTGACACCCTTTTATGCATGTGGTGTCTACGCACCCAAGAAACCCAAAACGGGGTTTTTCATTATTCATAAATGTTCTGATGAAATACACTTCTAATACTTGAAAATACAATCACTGTTCAAAATAAAAAAAAATTAAATATCACATGGTACAATATTGCAGGCAATTACAAGTAAAGAACATATGCATAGGGACCTTGCCAGCACCATGGCATATATAATATCCATAATTTCATGAGGGATGCCTACATGAAACATACAAATATTCCACACCTTTATCTCATTTATGTCTTCACCAATCCTGTTCAAACTTCACACATACATCATACAGCTTTATTTACATATTCATTTGGGGCAGGACTAATTACGAAATCTAATTTAGTGTTAAGAATGCATCCAAATTATTGTTTATGCCATTATGAAACTAGTCCTTAGTTATAGTCGTACATAGACAAATTTTGTTAAAACTTGGTACACACATTTAAACAACGCAATATCTTTACTTTGCATTGCTAAAGTGAGTACAAATGTCCTGAATCAATGCAGTAATATATCTAAACATTCTGCAGAAAAATACTGGTTAAAATTTAGATGAGAACAATTATGACCAAAATGGACATGAACAAGTCATCACAATTGCATAAAAAAATAATTTCAATGTTCCTCAAATAATATTACATATACTATATTAATCTCAATGTACCTTGTAGAATGATACAACATGAATTGTAAAAATGTTCTGAAATAATAGTGCAGTAATGTATAATCAAAATAAAACACTAATGAGATATGAAAAAGACTACACTTTATCCTCATAATGAAAACATTAGTTAACTACACTCGTCTGATTGACATATTCTGGTGAGCATAATACTAACATCTAGTTCCTATTATCAGTAGTATAAATGTCTTCATTCTCATTTCTAAATCTAACAAACGTCAAATTTCACCCCATATATTGAAATTTGAACTTGACATTTATAATGGCAACTGATAAAATTCCCAAATTTGAAGATTGTTATTGTAACAA